AAGTTTCACCAGATAATCTCGATATGGTTTGGTGAAGGATATCATCACGACTACATGAGCAATCGAGTAGAACGAGAAAACAGTAAGAGCAATCGCCGGTAACAGCTTGGCATACAACGGCGTCGCTGAAAAGAATGAAACTCCGAGAGGAGTAAACTTCATAATTAAATAGTACACCCAGCTCTGAGGAGGGTCATTGCCATGTGCGAGGCGATGGGGTCTACAGCTGCACTAGCTTGGCACTGTGTTCCCTTTAAAGACAGCGCCCGCGATGGACTTTGGCAGGTTTCAGGGGTCACATTTGCTAGAACAGGTGGCCAATGAAGCACTAATCAAAAAAAGCAGGAAAAAGGTGTGGAAGAGCGTGAAATAAGACCCTATGAAATTTAAGGCATGTGGACGAGTTTCGCAAACTTCTGGTGAGTTCTCCAATACACGTCGCCGCCTCGGAACTCTAGAAATTCAGCGTATATCAATGCCAGCAAGCATTGATAACTGTCAACCAGTCGGGGCGGGATTAACAGGACAGGAGGCGTCAGCCCGGCTCTGTTGACTCCGCCCTCGTCAACCAATCGATTTCGAGCCGCAAGAGTGGGATTTCTGCTGTGGTTGCGAACTCCGCGTTCGTTTTCAATGGAGGGTTTTTTCACTTTGGTTGATCGCGGACGCTGCCTTTAAATACTTAGGTACGGAGCTATAGGGTAATGATACCCGAGTGCCGTCTCCGTCCTGTGCCCGCGCAATCCTCACGGTGCAACGCTTGGTCGGTGCCAAGGTACCGCAGTGAAACACGCCCTCAGCGGTAAAGAACAACCAGAAGTGAGAGGGCGTGGAAAAGTAGCGACTTTGGCCATGGATAAGCGCCTGACTATCTGAGCGAGCGGAATACGAAAAGGGCATCCGCACATCATTACCCTCGGGAAAGTGCACTTCAGCGCACTTTAGAACGGAGAAAGTGACCCAATACTGCAGCGGCGGACCCATTCTCCGAAACACACGGCAGGAACCAAGGATCCACGACGATGAGCGTACAATTCGTCTTCGAAGTGAAAGTGGTACATACAATGATAATTAAAACTAATAATAAGGATAAAAGTTGTCGCAAATGGAAATGCCCTATGAAAAGAAATTGAAATAAAAACTCACGTTTTTCTGGGTCGAATACGTTTTCCGAAGTCACAGAAAGCAGCAAGTAAAAATAACGGCACACATATGAAAATAAGCGGTATAACGGTCTGAATGTGAAAAGAATTCACCTTAAAGCAGTTATGCCAGACATAAAGATCTCACGGCAAGAGAGTGCTTCCTCTATTTTCTGGGGTGTAAAGCGCGGATCCATCGCGCGAAGTGTTTTGAGCAGAGAAACATGTTATTAAATTCCGTCTTATTTAGTCGCTGAAAGTTTCATCCTAGTCTAGTTCGTGTTGTAGACGTACCAGTTTGTCCATCAATATTTAGTTTCGTCGTTCAGTTACCCAAATACTCTCCGATAACTTTCATGTCGTTAGATGATTCCGATAAAGAATAGGACATGGTGATGAAGAAATAGTGTTTCAAACTATTGCGGACCCCAGCGCTTCTTTCAAAACACTTTTCGCGCGCGTTGTCCGTCGTTCTCTGCGACCTAGCGAATGAATGCGCCTCATACCTCAGAAAATAGGGTATTTCGAAGGATAAAAATGGGGAGGTTTCTGCATGTTTGTTTAATAATGATGTTCAGCGATTTGTCGTGAAGTAGACGCGACAATAACATATGGATCGATGGAGACACTCAAATTATGCTACTCATGGTGCTATTTGAAGGCTCACCCAGCAAGAGAAGAGTTCACCTTTCTTGGTGAATTAAACGGATATCTAGGTAAATCGGCAGAGGCCGCATTGCTGACCACAAGTATGGAAACTGAATCTACTTGAACTTCGCAATCGAGTTGCGAGTCGTCAGTTTTGTCGGAGATATGACGGTGAACTATCAGCAGGAACAACCCGTTGACTGCCAGTGTCATATCGCTTATAGGCGAGGCGCTTGTTCAACGGGCAGCACCCTTCGAGCCCTCATCGTTTCCGAATTTTTGCCTTGTCTTCGATGATAGCAACCAGCCGAGTCTTCGACGGTAGGTCGGGAAATGTCGGACACGCTCATCAATCTATGAGTATCACATTTCGATGTTTGATGTGGAGATTTTGATTTGGCTAGACCATGTCGTCGTGGTATTCTGAAATCTTGAAATTGTAACACGCCTATTTGATACATGAACACCTATGCGCGGCGCAGGCCGACATCATTGTCTACCATAAGAAGGCAACGCAAAACTTGCAGAGCTACTTGATGCGGGCATCTGCGCACAAAACAGATAATCGCATTCAGGAAGTCAAAATACTTATGAGAACTACTATTGTGATGTCGAGATTTTGACCCAAACTATCGCAGAAATATCGCGACGTCCAATTGCAGATCAACTGCCGTGGATCAACGACAGCGCGGGAGCGCGCGAAGATGGACTGTGGACTAGCGGTAGCAGTTCACAGCGGCTCAATGCATGGTCTCTCTTGTTTTTTTCATCTATTTTCTTGTAATTGCGATGATGCGGTGATTTTTTTCCACATGACATACCCAGTATCTTTCTTGCATATTCTCCTTTTGTAGGACTTGCACAAAACTCATCATTTTTACTTTATCATTAGCACTTTCCGTTGCCATTGAACATTCACACGCAATTTGAGTCGTTGACCATTTGTATTGGGCTTTATGATGAAGTTTGATTACTCAAGTTGGCGGTGGCAGCTTCAACCACTGAATCCAAGCAAGCCACTTAACAAACTTCGAAATGCATTGAAGACTGAACTGTGACAGGGCTGTATAAAAGATGGTGAACCAGCTTACTAAATTTGAACGAAAACATGTATCCGTTTGCTGCAAAAATGCCTGGCGCCGCTCTGCAAGTTCCAGCGACGAAACACCGCGGGCAACAATACACTAAAATCTTATCTTCAGTGTAGCTTGACTCCCGGAGTGCGAACATTAGTCACTTTCACGCTACAATTACACAAATTACTTCTGCTACAGTTACCGTTACCATGCGCTTTCTCCGTCGTTGACTTAAGCATCAGTAGCACGAAGTGTCACAAGAGTGTCCTGCCTATTGGTCTGCCACGTTGGACTACTCACCTGTTTGACATATGCTTTGGTATCGATTACAATAATCCGCGAAATCCATAGATTCTGCAGGAATGGAAGCATTGGGAGAGTCGAACTTTTCGCCGGTGAAAAGATTCCCGCATTCCGCGGAGTCTGTTGGATTGGAGAAAATTTCCAAAAACTGAGTTGGCAGTTCTCCACTGAGAGTAAGACTCGAAATTTAGCGTTTGGAGCCCTCACTGTAGGCCGTAAACAGTGAGCCTCTACTCCTATCTCCACCGACTACTCATGTGGTTGCCGCGCGGGTTAGCCCTGCTTATGTGTAATGTGCTTGCCAGAGATGTCAAAAAATTCACTCCTTGGCGCGCCATAGCAAGCTCAGGCAGCAACCTTGTTATATATTTGTATTCAGCATTATGAACTTTTTCATTGTCTTGCAGGTTTCACATGTCCGAATTGCTATCGGGGAGCATTTTTGCTAGGACATGGCTACTGACAGACAGACACGATTAATGGAGATGGAGGCCTCACGTACCGACGACACTTTGTACTCTCACCAGGTAGTGTCCAGCTTCTCTCTTCGTAAACTCGGCATTGTTGTTACCACTAACCCATTGCGTACCGCGTGCTGCACATGGTGCAGCACGCTTTGTTTAAACTTATTTAGCACTGTTCGCTGTCCCAAGTGTGTCAGTATATTTGAGAAGTCTTCCGGAAAGAAATATATGTGTAGGAAATTGCAGGACCAAACGAGAGCTGAGTTACCGAAATTCTTTGGGAAATTCTTAGCTATTATATTCTTGAGTCTATTTTCTTTGCTATCCAGTCCGAAACCGAAATTCTGGCTGTGACTCCACTAAAAATTCGCAAAATAGTAAAGCTGAACAATTTATAAACATATTACGTCCTGCTTCCAATCCTTCTTGAATTTATCAACCTTTTTGTCAATTTCCGCTGTTTGTAGCCCATCGCGTTTATCACGTAAAAATGGTATCCAACATTACTTTATTCATAGTCATGCATACAAGTGTAATGTATAATACGAAGTATATGCATTATTTTTATGTCATACGTATATGATAAAAATCAATTTTGTTTATACTCGGCGCGCCACGAGTCGCGTCGAAAAAAGGCATCAGCCACAGGCGTCCGTTTTCGGGAAAACGCCGCCGCGTACGCAATGGGTTAATAAGTTCTTCTGTGCACACGAGGTTGTTAGGTGGAAACTTTATGATGGCCTGACGTTTCGACTAGATCGTCTCCATCAGAGGCCTAAACGTGGCTCATGGTTTCAATTTGCTCCTCTACGCCGCCAAAGATCTCCTCCTCCCCAACGTCTCAGACAGACTACTGAGAAAACCCCCTAAAGTCCCGAATGAGGGAAAGACTCACCCAGTCCACCACAGCGAGAGCGGGAGTAGCCGTTCAGTTGGTTGTTAGTACAAATTGGAGTTGGCCACTTATGTATAGTGACTATAATCAGATATGGCACGAACTGTGGGACGTGCCATATCTGACTATAGTCACTATACAAGATTGGCACAGTAAGTCCCACTCATTGTACTAACAACTAACTGAGCGGCTACTCCCGCTCTCGCTGTGGTGGACTGGGTGAGTCTTTCCCTCATTCGGGATTTTCGGGGTTTTCTCAGTAGTCTGTCAGAAACGTTAGGGAGGAGGAGATCTTTGGCGGTGTAGAGAGAGCAAATTGAAACCATGAGCCACGTTTAGGCCTCTGATGAAGACGATCTAGTCGAAACGTCAGGCCATAATAAAGTTTCCACCTAACAACCTCGTGTGCACAGAAGAACTTATTAAACTCTCACCTGGATTTGGATCCAACGCAGAGCGCGCTCTCGATACTTTATGTATTGTTTAAAATAGATAGCCCTATTGATGATTGAAGGGAACCGATCAACCTGAGGCCCGTCAGTGCTCCTAGTGACTCAAGTGCTTCTTGAAGAATGTTACTCACCTGGAAGATAAGGCTTTTCAGTAGAGTCCTATGCAGCTGAACCGTTCGCTCGCTCATGTGCTCGGCATTTTTCGATAGAGTTTTTCTTATCAGTATAATAAACGCCGTAATCGATGCAAAAAGCAATACTGTATAACTGGCAGCTCCCATGCAGAATATAGTATGTTGTGGGTATTTTTCCGGCAAGATCAAGACCATGGCTGATGACGGCTGGATGGTAATGTTGTTCTAAATTCCATTAACACCGTTTGTTCAATTCATGGAATCTTCCGAACTCCTTCTTTTATTGTAAGAGGCCGTGTTCATACTTCGCGACTTTAGCGATTCATGCGCGCGATTGCCTTCATCTAGGCCTCATCGATAACCTTTGGACCGCTGCAGCAAATAGAAGAGGTACGCCCCGAACATAATCGAATTTGCAGGTGCAGCGTTCAGCAATTAGCAGTGGAGAGCTGACTGTCATAGCCTTGCGCACTTCAAATCGTGCGACTGAAGCGCTCAAGCCACGAAGCATAAACGCAGCCTAAAAGGGTAGTATTGGAACAATTCACGAGAAATTCACGAGAAATCGTGCCGAAAAATGCTGTGTCCAACCTTGGACACTACATGCCGCTTATCTCTTCACTGTTGAACGCTCGGATATAGAGAACTGTTAGAACGACTATATATTACTAGCGGGTACCCGAATACACCAACATACATAATAAATCCTGCACCTTCAGAAAATTCGATGGTTTGTAATGTTCACGTTAGGGATTTGGCATGTACCTTTATCAGACCGGTTCATTGAAGAATTTATCGAATACAATCTGAAAGCAAAACCGCTGTGGATGCTCCATATCAGGAACGCCAGCGAAAGAAGGAGCATTATCTGAACAGAGAGAATCTTTACCAAGGAGTGCCGGAGTGCTGGGTTCCGTGGATCCAATGTTTAGTTT